CCATTCTATGATTCTATGAACAGAACTGGCCCCAACAGTGAGCCCTAGGGAACACCACTGGTGACCAGCCACCAACTGGATGGTCAGGCCCTGACCACCCTGCCAGTTTTTTAACCAGCAAAGAGTACACCCATCCAAGCCATGAGTGGAGAGTTTCTCCAGGAGAACGCTGTGGGAAACTGTGTCAAAGGCTTTATTACTAAAAAGTCCAGGTAAACAATATGCACAGTTTTCCCCTCATCCACAAAGCAGGTCACCTTGTCACAGGAGATCAGATTAGTCAAGCAGGACCTGCCTTTCATAAACCCATGCTGGGCTGGGCCTGATTGACCTGTGATGGCACTAAGATGATGTGCTCCATAGCCTTCCCAAATATTTGGGTCTGTTGCCTCCTTCTCTCCCTTGCTCCTGTTTGGAAGCAGGATGGGAAATAAAGAGCCCTGGGTTTTCCCACAGTTAGCAACACAAAGCCAAGTCAGGCGACAACTAATGCCCAAGAGTAGGACACATTATAATCTGGGAGGTGAGCCCTCTTTGCTGTGCCTGGGACCCATTGCATGGACACAGAGCTTGCAGTGCAACCAAGGGGGTCCTCAATGGAGAAACTGAGATGGATACAGCTTGCACAGGTGCTGGGCTCTGTACATGTGATTTTTTACACCCTTATTTCCAGCCAAAGCTGTTCCATATATCCCACTTCACTCATAGGAAGCTCAGGGTGGCAGCATAGCCTCCTCTCCTGGGCATAGGGTGTGAAGAGAAGCAACCCAGAATGTTCCAGGGAGACTTGTGGACTTGCTAGTCCCAAATGTTAGGAGATCCCAAAGTCTAGTGAGCATCCCAACATCAGCACCCAGCAGCTCCAGGACTGGCTCTCCCCACACCAAGTCTCTCCAGTCCAGCATCCCCAGCAGATTAAAATGCAGCATTAAGGAGTTTAATCACCAGCTGGTTATGGGAGAAAAGATTAGTTATTCTGAACAAGGGGGTGAAGGTACACTTGGAAAGGCAGTGAGCAGGCATGTGAGATCTCAACAGCATGCTCTTTAGGGAGTAAACTAAATCCCCAAACACCCAAATAAGGCATCTCCTGCAGATCTGTATTTCCCTCAGCACCTAAGGTTATCAGGACAGGCAGAGTCTCAAAGCTTTAGGGGAAAGGTTTGCCCTGTCCCTTGTAACTCCATGCAAACCCAGCTCCATTATCATCCACTGCAGTTTCTGTCTTCAAGCTGCTCCAGCCCCACGGCACCCCACTCCCTCCCAGCTCTGCCCCAGCATCTCTCCTTGCTCAATCCTGCTTCTGCAACACCCACGCAGCACAAGCCTGGCAGCAAGATTTTAGTCTGGCTCCGGAGTGGGGGAGGATGCTGGGACAGTCTGGCAGCCATCACCATCACAGTACTGATTTCAGCAGCCATCCCCCAAAAAAGTTGTCCAGCCTGTCCCCACCCATCCGACCAAGTGAGGGGTCAGCACCACAGGACACAGCGTGCATCAGCTGCCCTCCCCCAGATCCTCTGCCTGGCCCAAAATAAATGTTGGTGATGGCACAGATGGAGACCATGGGTTGCATCCCACGTCTGAACTTCAGCCGGCTCCCAAGAGCCACGTAAGCCCAGCTCTGGCACAGCCGTGGGTACCCTGCTGCCAGCACCTCACCACGCTGGGATGCCCAGAGCAGCTGGCCATGGGCCTGGCAATTAAATTCAAGTATCCTGGACCAGCTTGTCCAGGGATATCCTGGGATCTTTTTGTTTTACTTTTTATATTTTGAAGCCCGCCGCTGGCCCACCACATGGACCAGGGTGCATCTGGAGGATGCCCAGCAAAGGACATCAGCACATGTGTGGCCAGCAGGCAGGTGACCCCTTGCATTTACCCACCCAGCCTCAAAAGGGGGCAGCAGGTGACAGCCCAGAAAGCCAACTGTATCCTGGGCTGTATCCAGAGCAGTATGGCCAGCAGGGTGAGAGAGGGGAGTCTCCCCCACTACTCTGCTCTCCTGAGACCCCACCTGGAGTGCTGCATCCAGCTGTGGGGCCCCCAGCGTAAGAAGCATGTTGACCAGTTGGAGCCAGTCCAGAGGAGGCCACGGAAGTGACCAGAGGGATGGAACACCAAGCCTAATTCTCTCAGCCTGTCATCATAGGACAGTTCAGCCTGGAGAAAAGGTGGCTTTGGGGACAGCTTATAGCAACTTCAGTACCAGGGTGGGGCTACAAGGAAGCTGAGAGGGGACTTTTTACAAGGGCCTGTAGTGATAGGACAAGGGGTAACAGGTTTAACCTGAAAAGAGGGAGATTGAGATTGGACATCAGGAAGAAGTTCTTCCCAGAGAGGGTGGGGAGCACTGGGACAGGTTGCCCAGAGAAGCTGTGGATGCCCCATCCCTGGAAGTGTCCAAGGCCAGGCTGGATGAGGCTTGGAGCAGCCTGGTCTAGTGGAAGGCATCCCTGCCCATGGCAGGGGATTGGAACTACATGGTCTTTAAGGTCCCAAACCATTCTATGAGCTCTACACCACCTTTTTGTTCACCTTCTTGGAAGGCCTTTGCAAACCATAAATATAGGACAATCCAACCTGTGTGTGAATCACTGAGTCAATAAGCAAGATCAACACATCAGAGAATCCCAAAAACTTCATATTTCGTATACATCTACCCTGTGCATATGTCCCTTCACTTCTTTTTTGCATTCCTTCCCAAACAGTAGGCTACCACATGGAGCCAACACTTAGCCAAGCAGACAGCTTCCTCCAAGCTGTAACACTCACCAGGGCAGTCGCAGAGAGCAATGGCAGCGAAGTAGTGGGAAAGGGCATTGAAATGCTCCGACTTGACATGGACCATGGTGGTCCAAGAGAAGGGAACATAATCCTTCACATGGGCCTGGGTCATCGTCTGGTGCACCAAGGAGTAGACCTCTTCCACCTGTGGGACATCAAGAGAGAAGCTACTAAGCCATGGGTTGGGACGTTGGACGTCCCTCAGCCAGCTGTCTTCTCCTAGGGGGTTCTGCTGAGCAGAGAAGGAGCCTTTCCAATGGTGGCAGCCCCCCACGTGCTCTTCTCCCCAAGGTGCTCACCCTTGCTGCCTCCTGGGCGAGCTGCAGCCGGGCGAGGAAGTCATGCTGAGTGCACAGCAAAGTCATCTTCTCAAAGACACACTCCTGGACCTGGGCGACCATCAATCGCACCAGCATGTTCAAGGAAGCAGCGCTCATATCCAGGCTGGGAGCATTGGAGAAGTTTTCCTTCAAGTAGTTAAAGGCACCTGTGTGAGGGAGAAGCTCCTGGTAGCAGCCAGGCTGGTGAGGAGGGTCAGGCTTTCAGCACACAAAGGTTTCCCCACCAGCAGCCCAGGAGAAGGGCTGTTCACCCAGCTCACACAAACATCTCACCATAACCAGTGAGTAAAGAGGTCAGGGGTCCCTCCCCTCCTATCTAAACCATCTTTGTGCCTAGAAGCTTTCTTCTCCAAAGCCCTGAGCAATCATAGTCCCAGGGTGCCTCTTCTCCTCCAGCTGCTTACAGACAGATCAACATCTCTCCTCTCCCCAGCTGGGATATCCCTGCTGCTGTGTGGCAAGAGAGCCCTTTGGGTGGCTTCTGGGTCATCCCAGCTCCTCTTCAGAACCCATGGCAGCAGTGTGGTGTCACCTTGTGCTTGTTTCATGGTTCCTCAGAGATGCCCTGTCCTCAACCCTCTTTGCACGACTGCTCCCCCCCCTTCTTGCACTCATGAGGATTATTCCCACCCTGTGAAAATGCTGCCTGCATGCCTACGGGGAGCCAGAGGAGAACCCACATACCGGCCGCCTTCTGGAAGGCATCGATAGCCTGGTTGAGCCCTGGCAGGGATGCACGGTCCTGCCGTGCTCCGATCTGGGTGTGCAGGGCTCCGATGTTGAAGAGCACGCTGCCCTTCTCGAAGGCCAGTGCTCGCTGGTGGGATGGGACCCCCGTCAGGGAGTCGTACCTGGAGAAGGGAAGAGTCAACAGCCACTCATGGATGCAGGAGCCTGGAGGGTTTTCAGCACTCTCCATGGCCTTGCAGTCATTGTTCTCATCCCTGTGGAGTGCATGCTTTCCCCTGTCTTCACCAATTAACCCACCCAGGGCAACAGTAAACCCCCCTCCCCATGTCTGCCAGCCCCACATTGCTGCTGAGGCAGCGATCCCATCGCGGAGACTCGGCCCAGGCTCCCTCCCCACTCGTGATGCCCCATGTGGGATGGGGAAAAGCTGCACCAACCAGTGGAAGAAGACACCCAGGCTTTTGGTGGGAGGGAAGAAGCGACTGTCAAGGAAGTACAGCTGGTTGTAATACTCCATCAAGAGCTCCAGCCCAGCTTCATTGCGGCTTGGGGTACGCATCGCCTGTGAGAAGACACATGAATGGGAAGAGAGGAGGGAAATGATAAGGATGCATTGGATTTAGAGCTACACATGCTGGCCAGGGGGGAGAAACTACACCTGAGTTATAGATGAACAGGTTCAGATTGGTATGATCAATAGGATTAGATCAATAGTAGATGAGAGGCTGCACAGCAGCAGAAGGCAGCTCCCCCGGCACAGGTTCAGCTGCCAGAGAGGTCAGGGAGACACCAATTAAGTCCTGAGGCACCCAAATCTGGATCCAGCAGCCTGGGAGCCATGCTGATGGCAGCACTTCCCTAAACCAAGCTGGGATTATTATATTTTTTAAGAGAGAGAAACTCATACAGAGTCTGCTCCGATAAACACTCGGGAAGAAACAGGATTTTTGGCTCCTAAAAATCCCTCAAGCTTTTGACCTGACACAGGGAGGAAAGTCAAAGCTCTTCTAATGCCTAGTTTTAACTGTGGGGATTTTCCCAGCTTCTGGCTTCGCAGGGCTCCTCTCCCACAGCCTGAAGAGCAGGATCAGGCCCTGCACAAGAGCTTGAGCAAGCCTCTTTCTTTCCACTCTCCCAGATCAAAGCTCAAAGGCAAGGCAAAACCTGAAGTTACTTATGACAGCTGTTTCACAGGAGAGGAGAAAATTCACCTTTAGCGGATTGCTTTATATTTCCTTTCTCCAAGCGCTAACTGGAGAGAGAGCAGTCATTTAGCTTTGCCAGAGGTGAACTAATATTCATAAACCAGTAATGGATTGCATAACAACTTTTATTGCTGTTCAGGTCTAGGTTAGCAGGGTATTAAAGGACGTGGAAAGAAAACAGTTACTGAACAGTCTGTAATATTTTGTCACCTACGAACCAAAGCTGAGGTGCTCTAGCACAGGGATCCCACACTCTGAGACACAAGGATAAGCATGCAGTTTGAAGAGAGGCTGGAGGGACCCCAGAGCAAGATGTGGCACATCCAACAAGTGTTTCTGGACAAGCCAAAGCAAGACTTTGTAACTCCAGGGACACAAACCTGCCGTAGCTCCATGAACTCTTTGATTTCCTTTTCAAACAAGATGCCCTCCTCTCCATAGTGTTCACTGATCAGATCCTGGATGGGGAAACAAAAGAAAAAGCATGGAGTCATCCTTGGAAACAGATGTTCAGGATTTCAAGGGCGACTCTGGATTATTCTGTACAGGCAGTTTGTCAGCTCTACCTGCAAGAAAACTTGTGCCAGGGAAAGCCATCGCCTCCCCCATCTGTCTCTTGCTCTCCAGCATTTCCAGACCCTCATCTCCCATGTTTTAAGGTCAGTTCCAAACAAAAAAAGGGTTTATGGGAATTTTTTTTTTATTTTTGTCATGGTCAGATCCTGGATGGGGAAACAAAAGTTTTTTGTTTGTGTTTTTTTTTTTTTTGTGGGTTTTTTTTTTTTGGTGCGTTTTTTTTCCCCCCCCCCCCCAACTCTTCCAAAATATAAAACATTTTGCAGCTGCTGCAACACCTCCTCCACAGCACCCAACCAGTACCCAAAGTGTACAGTCGCTCCCCTCCATCCTCTTACCCTGCATCAAGAGAGCAAAGCACTGACGCTTACCTTTAGCGGTACCAGCAAATCCAGCTCCTTCGTCTCCTTCAGGCCCAAAGGGATCATGGGGACGCTGATAGACTCGCTGGAAAAAGACAGCAATGTATTTGGCAGTTGGTTTAAAAGCCTTGGACAGACCCTGTGTGTCAGGAGCTAAAATGAAGCAGCCCTTTGCCCTGGGTTTCTGCTGCTCCTTTTAAAGGGTAAAACTAGAAGAGGACCCAACTGCACAACACAAGGATTCTCTTCCCAGTGTGATGTCAGGAACGACAGTGCAAGAGAAGGGGTGCACAGAAAATAACTCAAAACCATCACCCTTATTCCTCCAGCTTCTGCTTTTCTCTCCATAACAGTAACAAAAGAGGTTCCAGTAACAAAGCTGCTTTAATTACCAGCCCTCGGGAATCGGGAGTGACACAAGCACAGGTCGTGGATTCACCTACTCCTCTGTGCTAATCTGGGCTTCAGCGCTGATAAGGGCTTGCTTGAGCTGCAGTCCTGTGTCTGATACTGACATTTTCTACCCCTATTAAATGCAGTTGTCTAATAATAGCTCTTATTGCAGAGCCTGTTCAATATCGTAGAACTCAAAAGATGACTCTGGGAACACCCAGGTGGCGAGTGGTTTGTATTTCAACCTTCACACAGGGCAGTCGTGCAGCACTGAGGAAGAAGTCCTGCAGGATGACAGCCAGGAAGGACCATCTTTTGGGGCTTTAGTGGCTTTTTTGATCTTCTGCTGCCAAAGGCCTGTACCAGCAGCAGAGCCTGGAGCACACAGAAGATTACAGCCCTGCTGCTCTGCAAAGAACCCCAAAACTGGGCCCATCATTCTTGTATGGAGAGATGGAGAATGGGAATCCATGGTAGTACCCACAGCTCACATCAACTCTGCAAAAAGCTTTCCCCAATACCCATCTATCCCTCAGGGATGTGCCCAACCCTGGCACTAAGCCATATTACTGCATCCCCAGACCCTTGGCCTCCCAGGGGACTGGTTTAAAGAGATGAGAAGATTTGGCAGAGTGAAAAAATGGGAATCAGGTCAGGCAGGATCAAGCCCTTCCCAGCCCAGGTTTGTACAACAGTCCCCTCTTGTTACCTCTAGAAACTGCTGATAACTTGTTAGCACATCACTCATGAGTCCAGGGAGGAAAAGAGGCAAAGAACCCTGCAAAAACCTGGGGAGCAGGGGTTGCACCCACATTTTCATCTGTTAATACTGAATAAACAGCTTCAAGAGCTATAATTAGTGCAGAAAAGCCATTATTGCTCCTTTGCTAACAAGATTTTCACTTGAATTCAATGCCCAGAACAAACAAAAGGGCCTTTGTTTGGCCTGGGCAGGGTTTTGAGGTTGCTGCAAACAAGCAGGGTGCTAAAGAAGCCAAGCATCCCTGATAGGGAAAAGCTTGGAAAGGATGCCTGCAGTACAGGAGAGACCATGCCTACTCCTAGCACAGAAGCAGCAGCAGCAACATCCAGGATTACATTCAGAGACCACAACAGACCCTTTGGGTGCAGCAAACACCCAAGGGTGGTAGAGATATGGGCTCCCTTGGCTTTCTCCCCATAGGGGACCCTATGACCCTAAACCAATCCTGCACCCAGATCATCCTGGTCCTATATTTAATATCATTGCAGCAACCTGTAGGATGGAGTCACTGATGCCATCTCCTGGTTTTTGTACCTCTCTGTCCCCAGCAAGCCTCACCCAAGGAGGACCAGGCACTGGGAAAAGCATGTGGATGGACATACACCATCCACCCATCCATCTCAGGAAGGGAAGGAGCAGCAATAGCTCCCATGTTGCTGCAGCATCCTCGGTCCCTTCTGCCTTGGGGATTTCTGCTTTTCTCACCCAGTGAAACGGCACTGCCGAGCCGCCCCAGCACGTTGGCTTGCTGCTGGCAAGTGTGCTAGGATTACTGCTCCGGTGAGTCAAGCCCAAGGTGGCTGGGTAAGCATTTCAAAGTGACAGAGCCTTTACAATTAACAAAAGGTCTAACAGTGGAAAGAAAAATAACCCAATACCCTCGATGGGAAAAGAAACTAGTGAGTAATCCATTCTGGGAACAGCAAGAACAGGATGTCAGACACGTGAGCTGCCAAAATTTTTATTTCTACTGTTAAATACTTTATTTTACCTGCTGGAAAAAACTTATGCTCTGGTGGGATTCTCAGGAAAACTGGGTGATGCAAGTAAAGATGGTTATTTCTTACTTACTCATCCTGCTTTGGGACATCAGTGTCCATCCCCAAATGCCTCCTAAGTATCTGCTAGGAAAAGCTGTTAAGTTTGCACTGCTTGCAGCTGATGAAACATGGATGTTCCTCAGGATGAAAAATCAGAGGGCCAAACCCTGCGCAGAGCAGGTAGGCAGAGCAACAGGCACAAGGCGAGGGGATACCTCACTCACCATGGATGTTCCTCAGGATGAAAAATTGTTTCCAGCAGATCTGGCCCATGCCCAAGTCCTCCCTTATTCTCCAATCTCCATGCTGTGGTCCCTGCCAGAGGGCCAAACCCTGCACAGAGCAGGTAGGCAGAGCAACGGGCACAAGGCGAGGGGATACCTCACTCACAGAAAAAGCAAAAATTAAATAATAAAAATAAAATCCCAACTAAGCGAGCTGAGCTGCTCTTCCCACACTGCAGGCAGCTGCCTGCCTGGTGTACCTGTCGTTCTGGTAGACGTCCACGCTGCTGTTCAGCTCCTCCAGCTCTTCCTTCAGCAGCTGCAGGTTGGAGTTCACATAGCTCAGCTCCAGGGCGACAGTCTCTTTGACCTTGTGGTTACTGGTGGCCCTGCAAGTCAACGTCATGTGGATCAACCCTCCCCTGTTTCATCAATGCCTTTATTTATCAACAGTTAATCTCTGTTTATCAGAGCAGTCAAGTTGTCCAGTGATACAAAACCATGTGCATCCATCCAAACCTTCCCACAGAGCCATGCCTCTTCCTCTGCACACAACAGGGACTGGGGGAGCCACAGCATCCATCCTGTTGTGCTGTGGAGGTTGAGAGCAGGCACAACTCATTACAGTGTTACCCAGATGAACCTCCTATTTCTCCCCTAGAGCAACCTTTCCCGCACCCATCCACACTCCCACCTCAAATGCAGTCTCAGATTTGTCTATAAGCACTCAAAGTGATCACCCACAGCAAATTAAAGTGCTTTATAGTTGGGCTGGAAAAAGAAAAAACTTTTTGGGTGCAAGTAACCCTTCTGCAAGAGCACACCCTTGCTGTGCTCAGCCATTAGGAGCACTGGACCCTGCCCTCCCTTCCCTGCTTGTGCATGTCAGGAGATGTAAACACCAAGGATTGATTTCAGCTGCCTGCTCCCAGCAAGACAAGCTCCCAGGCTGATTATACCCTTCTTATCTCTCCCTGCTTTCCTTTGGAGCAGATAACCCAGAGCTGACAGCACACAGTCGTTGGCTGAAAGGGGCTCTGGCTGCTCATGTTAAATCACACCAGGATCCAGGAAAAACAACACATGTATGATCTCTGCTCAGCCGAGGCAACGCTTTCACCCAGCTTTCACAGAGCACCGTGGGTTCAACTTGTTTTTTTGTGGATAGCATCCCTCAAAGGCCTTGCCCTGACCTGGCTCATGCTGGTTTTTTTTTTTAAGATGCTGGCTTTTTAGTGCCTCCTCCCCTAACTCCCCTTTGCTGGGATTTCCCAGGACCAATGCTTTTTTTTTTTTAATTTTAAATAAACAAAGCAAAACCACAGCAGGTTGAGAAATCTCCATGGCTGCTTCCAATTAAGCATTCTTTGGCATTTCTGCTATTCCTCATATGACATCAGCACAGTGACCACCCTTTTTCCTTATAAACCAGTATTTAGTCACAACACCTCCAGGACACTGGTGCATTGTGACTCTCACTACAATTTTCTTCCAACATTAAAGGGAATTTCCCCTTCTTGCTCCCATCTGGCAACAGTATTTTTTAATTTAATTTCTTATGTTACCAATAGCTGATTTGCAACCCAGCGATACCAGGGTATCATTTGCAAATACAAATGATATATTTCTGACCAGTGCTTTCACCCCTGCTCTGCATCAGGACAGATGTGTCAGGTTCCAAAGCTTGATTTTGCAGGCGTGTGCAAGTGTTCTCCCAGGATTTGTCACCAGGTTAAGGTTTTAAAGCCCAATGTCATTTTGAGGCACTTCAGTTTACATTCTGCAAGTGCCATACGCAGCGATTAAGAGCACAATACTTCTGAGAGGTAATTTAGGGGAACACTCAATTGTTTCCATGAGCAAACCTGCACTCAGGCCCTTTGTGCTCCCTATCCAGGGCAAGCACTGCACGCAGAGCCTACGTGTCTCCATCAACCTCCTCGGTGAAGTTATCAGCTGTTTGCTTAGCTAACACCTAACAAAGACTTCTGATTTTTTTTTTCTTAATTTCTTTTTAAGAAACTGGTTTATTGGCGACACCTTTATCTCCCTGATTGCTATGCTCAGCCCCAGTATTTGAACAAGAAAGAAAAAGGTTTCTGCTGCCTCTGCCCATTTATTTATCCAGCAAACAAACCCTCTTAACACCGCTGAGCAAACACCACGTGTGGTTTTTTCCGACTCACCATTCATGGCAACCTCTCCAGGAAAGAGGGTTGATATGCTGAACAGAACAGTTCAGGAGATTTTTTTTTTTTTTTAAAGCATGGAGGGTTTGGCTTTTTTCTTTTGCAAAGGCAAAAAAAAAAAACCCCACCAAACCAAAATAAAAACCAGCAAGTTCAGCTGCAAACTCTTCTCCAAGCAGGACAACCCACAGCTTTTTCTATTTGCATTTAGCACTAGAGCTTAGAGAGATGCAGAGCAAATCTCTCCATACAACTCCAGTCTCTAATTTTTAAGCAATAACCTTTAGACTTACAACATATTCCCCCCTCCTCAGCCTTTAATTTCAGGCACAAGCTTAATTATTTTTTCTTTTCCCCTAGATTTCCCGTGTTTCATAAGATTTGAGCACCATGGCACCCAGAAACCCGTATTATTACTCAGCTGCAAAATGGACTTGAGGGAGGGAGGAAAAGCGGCTGCTACCAAAGGATATTCAAACTGCTGATCCAGCAAGAAAAAGAGAACCCCATCAGTGCATTTCCCTGGCCGAGTAATTAAGATGTGTTTTGCATCACATTTTTTACTCACTCCCCTGCATGCGGCTCCAATTTCCACTGTTTGCAC